GGGGACACCTCCACTCAGAGCCCCGAATCATCAGGGGTAACTCGGGTCAGGGATAACTCGGGTTCCTTTTTCGGGATTCCGAACCCGAGTTACCCCGGACCCGAGTTACCCCGGATAACTCGGGCGTCCAATCCACGGCGATCCAGCAGCGGTGCCCCTGGCGCGATCGCGCGTCTCCGACGGTCCTCGACGGTCTCCGACGGCGCTTCAGCGCCGCGCGTGTCTTACGGTAGCGGGGCCGCCCCCACGCGAAAGCAAGCGGCCGGGGCAAAGTAAGCACGCCGGGCCGCCGAAAGAAAAATAGACAGGGACAGGACCACCCGAACATCTACATAGCGCCCAACAACGAACAGAATGGACAGCCCCACAAGTAAACGGGACCACCCAAGAGGTATATAAGACCCCGAGTCAGCAAACAGAACCCCCAACAAGTAAGAAGGACCACAACAGACGCCCAGAGGACTTCGCAACAAATAAACAGAACCACCCAACAACACAATCGAAGAAACATACTCCAGACCACCCGAAAAGTTAACAATACCCCCAAAAGGGTAGACTGGACCACCCCATAAGTAAACAGGACCTGCTGAACAAAAGTTGTTTTAGGGCCCCCCAGAAATTAAACGGGACCTCGCAAACTGTGCACGGGACAACCCATCTGTAAACCTGACCCCAAAAATAATAGACAGGACCAGCCCAGAAGTAAACAGGACCTCCGAACAGGTAGACAGGATATCGGAGCAAGTAAACAGGACCTCCCCAAAAAGTAGACAGGACCACACCAAAAGTAAACAGGGCCACAGTATCATCAGTTCCACCCTTCCATTATCGCAAAGACGATCGCGCATCATATCAGTAGCGGGTCCTTAACATGATGTGCACCCCCTCGGTGCATCAGTCAGAATACCCCTTGACGGCCCCCCCTCGGGTGTCCAAGTGCCACGTCTCCTATGCAGCGGTGAGCACTGGACCACCAGCTGAAAAATGGCTGCAAAAACTGCGCACGAGACGCCCCCACAATCTGCGCGCGAATGGGCCCATGCAATACCACCTGGCGGCTCCCCTCTGGGGTGCCAACATGCAACGCCCGCTATATCGCGGTGAGCAGTGGACCACCCAAGGAGATCAGTGCGGGGGGCCGAAACAGGCCCGCAATCTGGGCGCGAACTGGCCCGCAATAAGACACCCCCACAATCTGGGCGCGAACGGGCCCGCGCAGAAAATACACCCTGGCGGCCTCTCCTTGAGGCGCCCAACTGCAAGCTGCTTCGCGGCGAGCATTGGACCGCCAACGGGAAGAGAAATATCCGAGCGAAAGACCAAACCATATGCAGTTGTGGGAAACGCGTTGTGGGGACCGACCGCTTTCGATAGAGTTGTTGTTTCCTGGAGGCCGCGAAACGTGTGAGGGGCGCGCCAAAACGGGCGGGGCGGTGTCATGCGGGGGCTGCCACTGCGGCCTTCGGAGGAGCTCCCCACGGGGCCACGGGCCACGAAACGTGCGAGGGGTGCGCCGAAAGTACGCTGCTAGTGGGGACTGTTGGTGGAGCTCCTTATGGAGTCGTGCGCGCGTGCGCGAGCGTGGACGTGCGCGTGCGCGCGCGTGTGCGATGCGTGTGCGTGTGCGCGTGTGCGATGCGCGTGCGCGTGCGCGTGTGCTCGTGTGCGCGCGTGCGTGCGCGCGCGTGCAAGCGTGTGCGCGCGTGCGTGCGTGCGCGCGCGCGCGTGCGAGTGTGCGCGCGTGCGCGCGGCGCGCGTGCGCGCGTCTGCGTGTGCGCGCGTGTGTGCGTGCGTGTGCGTGCGCGTGTGTGCGTCTGCGTCTGCGTCTGCCTCTGCGTGTCTGCGTCTGTGCCTGCATGTGGGTGCGCGTGTGCGCGTGCGTGCGCGTGTGCACGTGCGCGTGTGCGTATGCGCGCGTGCGCGTGTGTGCGCGTGTGCGTGTGTGCGTGTGTGCGTGTGGTGCGTGCGCGCGCGTGCGCACGTGCGCGCGTGCGCGTGGGCGCGCGTGCGTGCATGCGCGTGTGCGCGTGTGTATGCGCGTGTGCGTGTGTGCGTGTGTGTCTGCGTGCGCGTGTGCGTGTACATGTGTGCGCGTGGTATTGTGTGCGTGTGTGCGCGTGTGCATGTGTGCGTGCGTGCGTGCGTGTGCGCGCGTGTGCGTGTGTGGGCGCGTGGGCGCGTGGGTGTGTAGGCGTGCGGGTGTGTGGGTGCATGGGCGTGTGGGTGCATAGGTGTGTGGGTGTGTGGGTGTGTGGGCGTGCGTGTGCGTCTGTGGGTGTGTGGGTTTGCGGGCGTGCGTGTGTGCGTGTGTGCGTGTGTGCGTGTGTGCGTGCGTGCGTGTGTGCGTGCGTGCGTGGTGTGTGCGTGCGCGCGTGCCTGCGTGCGTGCGTGCGTTTGGGGATGTGTGCGTGTGTGCGTGTGCTTAGGTGTGCGTGTGCGTGTGTACGTGTGTTCGTGTGCGTGTGCGTGCGTGTGCGCGTGTGTGCGTGTCTGCGCGCCTGCGTGTCTGCGTGTCTGCGTGTCTGCGTGCGTGCGTGCGTATGTGCGTGTGTGCGTGCGTGCGCGTGCGCGTGCGAGCGTGTGCGCGTGTGTGCGTGTGTGCGTGTGTGCGTGTGTGCGTGTGTGCGTGTGTGTGTGTGTGGTGTGTGCGTGTGTGGGTGCGTGGGTGCGTGGGTGTGCGTGCGCGTGTGCGTGTGCGTGTGCGTGTGTGTGTGCGTGTCCGCGTGCGCGTGTGCGTGTGTGTGTGTGTGTGTGTGTGTGCGTGGGTGTGCGCGGGTGCGTGTGTGCGTGTTTGCGTGTGTGCTTGTGCGTGTGTGCGCGTGTGCGCGCGTGCGCGCATGCGCGTGCGTGTGTGTGTGCGTGTATGTGTGGGCGTGTGTGCGTGTGTGCGTGTCTGCATGTGTGCGCATGTGCGTGTGTGCCTGTGCGTGGTTGTGCGAGTACGTGTGTGCGTGTAGTCTTGTGTGCGTGTGTGCGCGTGTGCATGTGTGCGTGCGCGTGTGCGTGTGCGTGTGTGTGTGGTCGTGTGCGTGTGCGTGTGCGTGTACGTGTGCATGTGCGTGTATGTACGTGTGCATGTGCGCGTTCGTGTGTGCGTGTGCGTGTGCGTGTGCGTGCGCGTGTGGGCGCGTGCGGGCGCGGGTGCGTCTCTTTGTGCGTGTGCGTGCTCGTGTGCGTATGCGTGTGCGTGTGCGTGTGTGTGTATGCGTGCGGGTGTACGTGCTTGCGTGTGCGTGTGCGTGTGCGTGTGCGTGCGTGTGTGTGATGTGTGTGGTGTGTTTGGCGTGTGGTGTGTGGTGCGTAGTTGATGCGTGTGGTGTGCGTGATGGGTGTGTGTTGTGTGTGGTGTGTGTGGTGTGTGTGTGCTATGTGTGGTGTCTGTGGTGTGCGGTGTGTGTGGTGTGTGTGATGTGTGTAGTGTGTGTGTGGTGTGTGTAGTGTGTGTGTGGTGTGGCGTTTGTGGTGTGTGTGTGTGGTGTGTGTGGTGTTTGTGGTGTGTGTGTGGTGTGTGTGGTGTGTGTGTGCGTGTGTGTTGTGTGTGGTGTGTGCGTGGTGTGTGAGTGGTGTGTGTGGTGTGAGATGTGTGGTGTGTATGGTGTGTGTGGTGTGTGTGTGGTGTGGGTGGTGTGTGGTGTGTGCGTGGTGTGGGTGTGGCTTCGTGGGTCTATGGTGTGGGTGTGTTATGTGTGTGTGTGTGGGGGGGGGGGGGTATGTGCGTGTGTGCGTGTGTGTGTGTGTGCGTGTGGGGGGGGGGTAGGGGGGGGGGGGCGTGCATGGTTGCTTCTGTGGTTGTTTGTGTATTTGTGTGTTCGTTTGTGTGTGTGCTTGTGTGTTTGTGTGTGGTGGTGTGGTGTTGTGCGGTGCGGTGCGGTGCGGTGTGGTGTGGTGTTCTGTGGTATTGTTTGGTGTGGTGCGGTGTGGGGTGATATGTCGTGTGGTGTGGTGTGGTGTGGTGTGTTTGTGTGCGTCTGGGTACGAATGAGTCTGAGTCTGAGTGGGTCTGATTGTAGTGAGCTTGTCCCTGAGTGGGCATGAGCATACGCCAGTCTCAGCGCGATGACTGCAGCTGAGGAGGAAGAGGAGGAAGGGGAAGGAGCCGACACGGTCTGAGTAAGAACACGAACCCCACCTCAGGAGATGGGGGAACAAGAACCATCTTAGGATTTGGGCAACGCATGTGTTCGAACGTTCGTCCGCCTCTTCGGGCCCCAAGACGTCCAGGACGACCCGAGAAGCCCTCCAGATCGACCCACGACGGCCCAACAGGCCCCCCGACAGGCCCAAGGCGGCCCCAGAACGCCCCAAGATGGCCTCAAGCCCCTCCGAACATCCCTGGACCCTTCCAAAACAGTCACCGTTGGCCCCTAAGGGGCGCCCAGATGGTTCGAGGAGGTTCGGGAGGGCCCCATGGGAGGCGACGAAGCCCAAAGAAGGCCCCAAGAGACCCAGGAAGCCCCCGAGAGACCTCCCTCCTCGGCTCTCCCTCGTCTCTCCTCGCCCCTGTCTCCTCGGCCGTCGTTCGACCCTTCTCGCTCTTCGCTGATTGCTCCTCGCGTCTTTCCTCGTCATCCTTTTATCCTAACTCCTCGACCCGCTTCTGGCAGCAGGTTGCGCCAGCAAGATGAGGCAGCGAGAATCAGCACCCTGCAGCATCGAGCAGCTGCAGATAACGGCAGCAGCACGCAGCACGAAGCAGGCAGAAGAAGCGGCAGCACACACCAACAGCAAGCAGCAGCAGGCAGCGGGCAGCAGCACTCACCAAACAGAGTTGGCCATCAGCAGCACCCTGCAGCCACAAGCGGCAACGACACGCAGCGGCGGCACGCGCTACCATCAGCACGCAACAGCGGCAGCAAGCAGCAGCCCGCAGTAGCATGCGTGTAATGCGAGGGTCGAGCCCCACCTTTTCATTTCGGCATTTCGGCAGCATGTCCGGCATCACATACCAGTGCGTGCAGATTTCCTGAATGTAGTCCACTGGTCAGCCCTTTAACACTCAGCTACAACACTGGGCTCAGTGCGTGCGAGAAGGGCGAGCAGTGGCAGCGGTCGTTGACGCTGCTGAGCGAGATGCGCGAGGCGAAGCTGGAGCCCGACGTCATCTGCACTACAATTCTGATCGAAGCGCGTGCGAGAGGGGCGGATAGTGGAACCAGCGCACGGTTCCAGACACCCTCTCGTGGCCGCCCGGAGCTCGCCAGGAGCACTCCAGAAGCCCCGCGAGCCGCTCCTCCAAACCGTGCAGGGGAGACTCCGAGGGCTCGCCAGAGGCTCCCTAGAGTGCCCCAGGCGCTTCAAGATTGGCGCCAGCGTGGCTCCAGACCAAGACGCTGCCAGGCCGTTGGCGCAGAGCCCCGGGAGGCCAAAACCATCGAGATTGCTTGCGTGGGTTTTCTTACATCTCCATTACTAGTATACTCTTTAGAAAGATTGATAAATCCATACCTTGATATCAATTAGTCCAAAATACCATGGACTACAGAATGATGAATCATTTGGAATAAATGCTTTAAACTTCTCACACTTCCGCCCCAGATCACTCATACGGCCCATGCGAGATCCACGATGGCCGCAGAGGCCCCCACCGCAGCCCAGGACGCCCCCAAGACGGGCCCGAGAAGGAGAAGGCCCCCCGGCCCCCGGAGCCGCTCCCCTCCCAGGCTGGCCCCCAGGGCCCCAACTTGGGAACCCCCAAACCAGGTGGTGAGATTCCAGGTGGCAACCTGGAATCCCCAAAAAGGTCACCGCTGGATTTGGGGACACGGGGTCACCACCTGGTTCTGTGACTCCTGGACCCACCAGTGCTCGGGACATCCTCGGAAAACCGCACGAGTCCCCGAACCGGGTGGTGACACCAAATCGCCCGAGACTCACCTGCCAGGTGTTGTCACCACCACGTTTGGGGACTACCAACCAACCCATGCCCTGAAGATGCCCTCCGGACGGCCGCGGGCCTCCCAAGGAGCCCCCCCGAGGCGGCCCGGGAGCGCTCGGCTGCCCTGGTAACGCCCGTGTGCTGATGCGCGACACGCACCGTGTTCCGAACGTCGTCCGTGGCAGCACGCTGCGCGTTGGCTCGGCACGTGTGAGCCCACGTTTGGGCGAACGTATCGAGCCAGACCTACACCCTAGGCGATGCTTAAGAAAACTTAAGTTTTCGGCCATAGTCTCGATTATTCTTAGTGTTTCAATGTAAATCCTAAGATTTTAAAAGAAATTCTGAGTTTTTATTCAAATTCTGAGACTCTGAATTTCTTAACCCATGATTTCTTAAGCATTTTGCAGGGTGTACGTGTTCAGTCTACGTGCTGAGCTTCGTGTCAACACGCTGCGTGCGTCGTGTTGCGCATCGGGGTGGTGATGCCAGGAGCCCTCCCCCCCAGCGTGGCCTCCAGGGCCTCGAGCATGCCCCAGGGAGGCCCCTCCAGGCGGCCCCGAGAATGCCAGCAATCCAGGTCGGGGCTACGGGCGCAGCCATCGGGGCCCCAGAACCAGCACAAGCACCCCATCACTGCTTCTGGGACCTTCCCGCTTCTCTGTTCCCTCTCTCTCTCTCTCTCCTCCTCCTGCTCGTGGCCATGGCGGGTGGAGACCAGTGAACTGTGCCAACTAACGGGGTCAAGGTGCCCCAAAGGCATAGTATTTCAAGTCCTCGTCCTCCTGATCCTCCTCCTCATCCTCCTCTTCCTCCTCCTCCTCATCCTCCTCCTCCTCCTCCTCCTCCTCCTCCTCCTCCTCTTCCTCACCTCATCCTCCTCTCCTTCTTCCTTGTCCGTAGCGTTTTTGGCTCCAGAGCCCCGCCTTGCGCAAGCTGAGAAAGGATACCGCTGATCCGCGGCCAGTTCCAAATCTTTATCCGATCCCTCACACCGCCCACTATGAGGGCCTCCACGTTCTCATTCGCGGCACCAGAGTGCCGCTTCAGCGCCAATGGCGACGAAGGGTCCCCACGTTCCCATGGGGCCGCGTAAGCCCGAATGGTCATGCAGTGCCTGTACCCACGTGCACAACTGGGCGTCCAGAGTCAAGTGCGCATGCGGCAGAGACGCGCCGCGGGCGGTCAAGCAGAAGGCGCTGGAGGCGCACAAGACCGCCAAGTCGAAGGCGGCAGGCGGAGGCGGTGGCAGCAAAGGAGTCGCCTCAGGAGATGCACACCACTCTCGGGGCCAAGCTACAAGCACTTCGCGAGCAGCAGCGGCAGATGCGGCCGCCCTCTACGGCCCACAGGCGGGCTGCCCAGGACTTGGCGAAGGCCAAGTCGGTGGTGGAGAGGCACACTAAGGAGGCTCAGTCCAATAATGACCAGATCGCCAAGCTCCAGGAGGAGGTCGCCAAGCAGGAGGAGCTCCTGGCGGCCAAGAAGGCAGACGTGGTGGCGCTGCAGATGGAGTTCGAGCGCACGGCGGCGCGCTGGGCTCCTGAGACAGGCACGGCAGAGCCACGTAGCGCAGGCGAGAGCACTCAGCCAGCTGGGCCTGTCACGATCGAGAATGCGGAGAACCTCAAGTCAGAGGCGCCCGAGCTTGCGCAGTTTCTCAACAGCCCATAGTGGCCAGTGTTGCAGAAGCACGCCCGCGTCGAGAATCGCGACATCCAAATGGTAGCGGGCGGCACGTCGACTCTTGTCCCTGCTGGCGACGATGGTCTGGGCGATGGAAGTGGCGGGCCCGGAGGTGAAGGTGCACAAGGAGCTGCCGCCAGCCAAGGCGACAAGCGGGCGCAGTTGTCCCACACAGGAGTCCCAGGTGCCGTTCGCGAGCTCCCGGTCGCTCGAACGGCCAGCTGTCTGCCGGGCTGCAGCAGCTCTGCAAGACCGAGAGGCAGCGGCGCTCCCGACCTGCACGGCGGAGGCGGCGAAGTCCGCCTCCGCCGGCGGAGAGCTGCCTCTGCGCCCCTGCTGGCAAGGGGTGGACGGTTTCCCCCGGGGCCGTAGGCGACCCGAGGAGGGGAGGGCGAGGAGGGGGAGGAGGAGGAGGAGCAGGAGGAGGAGGAGGAGGAGGGGGACGAGGAGCAGGAGGAGGAGGAGGGGGACGAGGAGGAGGAGGAGGAGGAGGAGGAGGAGGAGGAGGAGGAGGAGGGGGACGAGGAGGAGGAGGGGCGCCGCGGGCGCGCTGCAGGTGCCGCGCGAAGGCTCCGCGGGCGGCGCGGCCCGCGCGCACGAGGCACCGCCCCGAGCCGGCGCGCCGAGGTGGCCGAGGTGGGCGAAGGGCCCTCAGGCCCTCGGCGTCGGCGCACGTGGGTGTGCTTGCCGCCTGGGCAGGGCGCGGCGGCGAAGTGCAGCCAGACAGCGGCCCTGAGATCCAGTCAGGCTGCGCGGCGTGGCCCTCCCTCCCTCCCCTTTTTCCCACCTTGAGTGCCGCTGCGCGTCTCGACATGACATGAGCAGCCGGCTGGGCTGCAGGGGGACATCCGCACAGCGCCTTTTGCCCGCTCTCCTCCTCCTCCTCCTTCTCCTCCTCCTCCTCCTCCTCCTCCTCCTCCTCCTCCTCCTCCTCCTCCTCCCGTAGCCGTTTTGGCTCAAGACCTATGCTTTGGCGGGCTGAGCCCGCATTGGCATCCACTGATACCGCTATTCCGCGGCTGTGCCAGGGCGCCTGCGCCCGACATCTATTCTCGCCTATACCGAGGGGTTGGGCTCCCTCTCAGAAGTGCGAGACAAGGGCGTCACCATGGCGCCAGGGCCGCTGCCGCCCGCCCCTGCGGTGCTCCGCGGGCCGCGGCGGCCCACGTGGGCATGTGGACGGTGCTCAGCCTCGGCGAACTGGGCATCGCGTATCCGCTGTCAGCGTGGAAACGAAGCACCGCTTCGTATCAAGAAGGCCGCTTGGACCGCTCATCAGGAGATCATGGCCAAAGATGATCGCGCGGATCGTGCGGGCGGGAAGTCAAGTGGCAAGCCGAAAGATGAAACGAGCAAGCGTCTGGAGGCCATCGAGACGCTACTCCTCGGCCAAAGTGGCGCTACTCAGAGTGCGACATCGCCTAAAGTCTGGCCAGCGCCAGGTGAGGGGGTGCCGCCGTTGAAGCAAGACAACGGCAAAGCAGGTGGCAACAGCATGGAGACGGATAAAGACGATTCTACCAAACGTACCAAGTTATCCAACCAGATTGCGCAGTATGAGTCGATCCTCAAGGCGCTACCTGGAGACGAGAGTGATGAGATCAAGAAGGCAACGAAGGACAAGTTGGCGGCGCTGCGTGAGCAGCACAAGGCATTGCGCACCCCTGCTCAGTCCCATCGCCGTGCGCAGCAAGATTTGGAAACAGCGAAGTTGCACCGTATCAAGCTGGAGAATGAGATCAGCGAGAAGCCCCGACCCAACCCACGTTCGACTTCGACGTTAAGGCTACGGACGTCAGCGACGACGACCTGCAGAGCTTCCTCTGTTCCGACCTCTGGACCAAGCTGCAGGAAGTGCTCAAGTCCAAGTTCGCTGCATCGGTTTCTCCAGCTGCTAGCTCTGGTGGGGGGTCTTCTGCTGGTGACGGGGATGTGCCAGCTGGCGATGCAAGTAAGCGATCATTCGAGGACCTGTCTGATGAAGAAAAGAAGTCCCTCTTCGAGTCAGGAACCTACGAGGCGCTCAACACCAAGCTTGGAGAGCTTGCCAAGCGACAGCGACTCGGGTGCGCCTACGAGATGCTGTGCAGCATTCCTTCTGGACTGGCTTCAGGTCCATCGCGTGCTGCGGGGAATGCAGAGTCTCTGCCATCCTCGGAGCCCACCCTCCCCAGGCCTCAGAATGTTTATGGTGCTGTGGTCTCGTCGGCTACTGCAGCATCATCGCCTGTCGGCACGCATTGTGGCTCGCCCAGTTCCTGCGACTCGGCCGCAATGAGGCAATCTGAGGGTAGAGGGTACCGACCATCCGTGGATGGCACGCACTGCTCGCCCCCCTGGCCTCGCGGCCCGACTGCAGGGACGTTTGGCGGGTCGCAGTGCCGACCTTGAGGCTTGGAAGATGGTTTCGTGGCTGTGGGAGTTTCTGAAGCGCCTGTGTCAATAGATGGAAAGGCCAAGCGATTTCCTACACCACCTTCGCAGAGTACATACATGTTCGAATCGTTCAATGCCAATGGTGGACCGAATACGTTGAAAGACCG